TCTTGATGCATTCTGCATCATTCAATAATTTGCCCAGAGAATCTTTCAATAACAAAAGTCAAGGCTTGAATTTTTTCTTCAGTTCCCCCAGCTTGAAAAATGCTAACCGTGTGCTTCCTTTCTGGTTTTCTAGTTCCAAATCTTTGCATATTTTATTATAGTATTTGGCTTTATCTTCTCGAGCTGATCTTTGAAATTTTCTGTTCAGTGCTTGGACCTCATTAAATCCTTCCCTTTGCTTTAGCAAAGGGCCACTTACAAAATAAGTTTAATTAAGGATTACAAAGATAAGTTCAGGCTAGGTACCAAAAAAAACTCCTTGGAAGTATATAGAAATGATACAGTAATGCTTTCTTTGAACTTGTAAAGAACAAAGTACATCTCTCAATTCATGTGAATATTTTGGTCAAATCATTACAAGAGGAAAGACAAGGTGGAAAATGCAAAACACTGTTAAATGCCTACTTGTGTCCAACATTTTGAGCATACCATCACATTAAAGATTTTTTTTTTTTTACTTGTTAAGACTCTTTTATTATTATTTTTTAATTGTGAGCTGAGTGTTAGCTTACATGGGAGAACATCGGCTTTACACCATTGAATCATTGAAATGATTACAATCTCCTCCACGCATCATCATTCAACATTAATTGCTTCCATTCCCTCCGGTTTTTTTTCTCTCTTTTTTTTTTTAATACACTATCACATTTAATATTCATGACAAATCTGCAAGGTAGGCATTATTATTCCTATTTAACAGATGAGGAAGCAGAGGTTAGGCAGGGAAGGTGGAATTCTGAAAACTGGAAGTAGTGTCTTGGCTGGCTCTGTCAGCAAAATGGACCAGAACTCATTTGCTCGTATTTAATATACACCTTCTAATGTTCCTATTTCACAGCCTCCTTTTGTAGTCTGTGCCTTCTTTGTACCATCACTTCCTTCGGATGCAGTTTCTAGTCCCCCTAGCGCCACTTGAGTCCTTTTTTCTTGGATTCCTCCAGATTCTACTTCTTTTCATTCCCCGTTGGATAGTGGTATTCCAAAGATTCATGTTATGATTATGTCTCTTCTTCATTTCTGCTCTCTCCGTGGGTAAATTTAGCAACTCTATTATTTCAAATACATTTTGTATGTTGGCAACTCTCCCACACATACACTTTCCACATGAATCTCAAGCTCTTGAGCATATATTTGTATATGCTGCTATTAAGTGCTGTTGAGTTGGTTCTGATTCATAGGGTTTCCTAGGAGAGGCTGGTGAGTTTGAACTGCTGACCTTGCGGTTCAAGTCAACCTTGTGATCCAGTGCTTATCCTACAGCGCCACACCAGGACACCTATTTGTGTATGGTGGTGGTGGACTGTGGAGTCGGTTTCGGCTCACTGCGACCCTGTATAGGGTTTCCAGCACTGTAAATCTTTACAGAAGCAGCAAACCTCATCTTCCTCCTGCAGAACAGCTGGTAGTTTCGAACTGCTGACCTTGAGGTTAGCAGCCTGACTTGTAACCACTATGATACAAGAGCTCCTTCTTATTTGTACATTGTTGTTGTTATTGTTATGTGCTGTGGAGTCGGTTCCGACTCATAGTGACCCTGTACAGGGTTTCTGAGGCTGTAAATCTTTATGGGCGCAGAATGCCTCATTTTTCTCCAGTGGAACAGCAGGTAGTTTCAAACTGACCTTGTGGCTTGCAGCCCGATTTGTAACCACTACGCTACCAGAGCTCTAAACACCTATTAATTCCACAGGAGAAATATGAGGCTTTCTGCTCCTTTGAAGATTTAAAGCCTTGGAAACTCTACACAGGATCACTATGAGTTTTGCTGGAACTGACTCAATGGCACCTCACAAACAACCTATTAACTATCTAATGAGATTTCACATAGCTCTTGAACTCAACAGATATAAATCTAATCTTACCATCTTCCTCCAAACTGGATCCTCTTCCTTAATTAACTGGTGACACCAATTCACACTTTAACCAGAATCCTATAGGGTTTTTTTGGGGTGTGTGCGTGCGTGGTGGTGGGGGTTAGGGAATAAGGAGTTAGAGTTAGCATTATCGTTTAGTGTTAGGGTTATGGTTAGGCCTAGAGTTAGTGTTAGGGGTAAAGGCTGGGCTAGGGATAGGAGTTAATACTTGATCTAATTTTTGCTTTATGGGTTTTCTTTTTTGGTTGCAAACTGTTATCTCTGGTTCCCTATTTATAGTCTTATGTAAATACCATCTTTTACTTTGACTACTTCTATAACTGTGTTGAATTCTGGGTGATAATGTCATATACATTAATCTCAGGTTGCTGTTTGCTGTTGTTGGTTCTCTGGCCAAAGAATTCCCATTAGTACTTTTTATAATGTTTTTCTGTTTTTTGAAAATTCCTTAAATTTGTTTATTTGGAAATGTTCTAATTTCACTGTCACATTTGATGGATAATTTTGCTGGGTATATGATACATGATTGGCAAATTTTTTTTTTTTTCTTACAGAGTCTATGTTTCCCCACTGTCTCCTTGGTTTCTGCTGAGAAATCAGAGCTTAGTCTTATTAGTTCTCCTTTGCCTACCAACCTGGCTTATATTTTGGGATAGGGATTTAGTGTTTCTATCACTCCTAAGACTTTTTTTTTTTTTTTTTTTCAGTATCCTTTAGCTATTTAATGGAGAATTTTCTTGATGATATGCTTCTCTGCTGCTAAATATCTTGGTCCCCCTCCACAAACTTTATTTGGGTCCAGCAATACTGAACTATTTGTAATTCTTACATACATCATATCATTACTGGCTTCTTCATCTTTGCTCATGATGTTCATTCTGCTGAATGTAACTCTCCTTGCTACCTGAGTAACTTCCTCCAAGAAACCTTTCCTCTTGCTTCTGGGTTGGGTTTCCCTCCTTGGTGCTTTCTTTGTTAACAACCTATTAATACATGTGTGCCTAACTGTCTCCTAGACAGTGAACTCTTTAAGGGCAGGGACTCTTATGTTTATGTTCATATTCTCAGCACCTAGCAAGTGATCATGTGAAATGAATGAATAAATAAATAAGCGATCAATTGGCTTCTGGCTATTATGCTTATTTTTATTTTTTCTACAGTTGGGCACAGAGAACGAAATGATCATTTATCTAAGGCAGATTACACACAAGGTGCGTATCAAATATATTGCTGATTAAAACCAAAGGCAATTACAAATATAGTCTAATCTACATCATCACATACTCATTCATTCGTTCACATAAGTAGTATGAATAAACATCAAACATATGATTAATGACTATCTAGTAGTGAATATGAAGAGTAGATCTAATCAGAAACAGATTGCAGTTAATCCTTGAATAAAATAGGCTTGAACTGTGTGGGATCAACTTCTTGTTGTTAAAGGCCATGAGTCAGTTCTGACTCGTAGGGACCCTGTACAGGGTTTCTGAAGAGTGGCTGGTTAGTTTGAGCCACCAACCATGTGGTTCAAACTGATGTTGAGATTGAGTGCTTATCCTATGGTGCCATACCTGGACTCCATTCACTACATTCACAATAAAAAGCAAAAAAAAATTAATGAACAAAATTGATAAAAATTTCTGCATCTGAACTTATAAGTAAATCTTTTTCCTGGTGTTACTGAAGTGAGGTTAAGGACTTCGAGTATCTGCTTATTTGCTTAAAATGCCATGTGACACTGATCATCCCCATGAAAGCAGTTCTTCTCTCCAGATAGGGAGACGGAAGCATGAGAGACTGCCAGTTACTGAAGAAATGAACTGCTCCTTACATGCTTAGGTCACTTGGTGTTTTAAGTGTATTCTCAAAACATCTGAGCACACTGAAATATCAGTGGGTCTGCACAGTTCAAATCTATGTTGTTCAAGAGTCGACTGTAGATTGATTACACTTGGATTTTTCAGTTGCTTGGCAGGTTGGTGCCCTAACCACTGTATTTTTTTCAAAAGAATCAAGTATTTCAAATATTGTATATTGAAACCATTAATTATGAAGTAAAACTTGAACTATCTTTAAGCAATCATAAAGTATTACTTGTTATTTCTCCCCAGTAACTGTAATTTCCAATTTGGGTGAACACACTGCTTAATGTTTAAATGCTCTATCTTAGCAAACTTACAAATTTTAAAGCAAATGTAGTTACCATTTGGTATTTTAGCCCAAAGCTAATCTGCACATGTAATTTGTTTGTTCATAAACAGCATAAAAAGGACAATATTTGCAATTTTATTTGGTAAATAATTCTTCATGAATTTAAAGATAAAATCCTATTTACTAAAGATTAATATACCAATTAAGTCCCACTTCCTTTTTCAATTAAAAAAAAAAGGAGAACATTTTTGTATAATTAGATTTTATATTTGTGTGTTTGTTGTTGTTAAGTGCTGTTGAGTTGGTTCCGATGACCCATAGCGACCCTGCACAGGGTTTCCGAGGAGCTGTTGGTGAGTTTGAACCACCGACCTTGCAGTCCAAACAGCTTTATAGTCTGGTGCATTAACCCACAGCTCCACATTTGTGTGTTTAGTAGTAGCACTTAATTTCTTTTATCTTAGAAAATACAGATATTTACATTTATAAACTTACCATCTAATACAATTCCAGCAATTTCTCTCCCAACAGGAAAGAAATCTTTCTCCATCTTCATTTCTGCCAGAAGCTATAAAATAACAAAAGCAATCAAAAATAAATCCTGGCCTTCTCTCATACATGAGAAGACAGCGTAAAAATCATACCACAGAAAAAGCAAATATGATTCAACCTTTTTTTTGAAATAAGAGTTTATAATCTATTTTAAGGCGTCTTAAAGATAACATAGTAACACTAAGTAAAAAGGTATGAAAAGTAATCCTCTTGAATATTTCCTTTAATTTCAACTTTTAGTTTCCTGTATATATTTGACTGTTAGGAAAATGTCTTTTTCAATGTGGAACTTGATAACTTTTTTAGGATGTTTATATGATCGTCTTACAGAAATACGAGATGTTTTATATTATTTCACTTAGGCACAATTTTATAGACGTCTAATTGTAATTTTAACAACTATGCCTTCCCTCCTACACTTAACCCAGGCCTTTTCTTATTTTACTAGTTTTCATACTATGTTTTAAAGTAGCTGTGCACTATTCTATTAAACTGATTTGACTATAATTTACCATTTCCTTCTGTTAGACATGGAGATTATTTCCTACATTGGAATAGACTTATCACAGCTTTATAAAGTATGTCTTAGAAGGATGAACACAGAACTCTGTAGGTGAGGACTAGTGCTTGCGTTCTTCAAAATGCAGTTCTCAGATCACACTCATGTTCTAGAGCTGCTCAGTAGACACCTATAACCTTGTTCTGTAATTCCTCTAAATGTAACTTTATAGAAAACACTTTTAGATTCCTCAAAGTTATAGTGACATTATAATCCAACACATTAAGGATACAATACACTACAGTATTCACCTTTTAAAAATAGAAAATGAATTGGCTCCAATTAACATAGTACATTAATATATAGTTTAGCATTTGGAGACTTGCCATGAATGAGGAGGCTTCAGAAAGTTCATGGAAAAATGGAATACAATTTTCTCATAGAATTTTTGAAGCCACAACTGCATTTTATGGTCAATACTGAAAGACTGCTATGGGTTTGAGTGAGAGAGAGAGCTGGAGACGACTAGAAGACGAGGGAAGGAGGGCGATGAAGCATATCTAATGTAATTAAATGGAAAGATCTATAGAAGAGATGGTTAGCAAATTAACTGACTAGGTTTCTTGTTCCCATCTGTACTGTACTTATAAAGATAATTTCTTCCTTGATTATGTTGTTGTTATTTAAGCACTGCCGAGTCGATTTTGACTCAGTAACTCTGCATACAGTTCCCATGGAACAGCTGGTGGGTTTGAACCTTGTGGTTAGCAGTCCGGTGCTTATCCTATGGAGTCACAGCAGGTCTCTTTATTGAGTATGCTGCTACTGCTGTTTGCCACTGAGTTAGTTTCAACTCAAAGCAATCGTGTATAAGATTTCCAAGGCTATACATTTTTATGGGAACAGAAAGCCTCAATCTTTCTCCTGTGAAGCAGTTAGTAGATTTGAACTGCTGACTTTGCGGTTAGCAGCCCAATGTGTAACCCACTATGCTACCAGGGCTCCTTCCTCCTTGACTATTTTTTTGTTAGGTTGTTAAGTGCTGTAGAGTTGGTTCCAACTTACAGCTACCCTGTATATACAGTTTCTGAGGAGCAGCTGGTGGGTTTAAACCATCGACCTTGCAGTTCAAACCAACCTTGAGTCCAGTGCATTATCCTGCAGCACCATACCACAACTTGATTATGTTGTTATTAAGTGCTATCGAGTTGGTTTCAACTCACAGTGACCTTGTATAGGGTTTGATTATGTTGCTGTTGTTGTTGTTAAGTGCTGTTGAGTTGGTACTGACTCATAGCTACTCTGTATAGAGTTCCTGAGGAGTGGCTGGTGAACTTGAACCACCAACCTTGCAGTCCAGCGTATTAACCCAAGCACCACACCAGGACTTCCTTAGTAAATACAAACTCTCAGCATTTCACAATGTGACAGTTTTTTCATATAATTATATAAAAGACATGATTTCAATTAGACTAATAATCTACCTTAAGAAAGTAGGAATACAAAAATATATATATTAAACCCCCCCCCCCCCAACTCCTCCAGCTATGCTACTCTTCTAAGGATGCTAATTATTTCTTGGCACTCATTAGTCAGTTATCATTATACTACATCTGTATACTAAAATACAACATGAAACTCTCATTTGACTTTTGGCCAAAATAAATGCATCAAATACCTTTGTGTTTATCTGGCTCAGAGCACAAGCTTTAACTTGCAGTTTCACAAAGTTATCTTCTATAACAGGAAGATTTTCCTAGAACCAAATAATAACATAATAATGCTTCAACATTCCTTTGAGAACATGCCTTTAATACTGTGAAAATTTCAAGCATGGTTGAACAAAATCCAACAGAACTCAAATCTTACAGCTAATTAACTTAAAAAAGTTATAAGTAATTATCTATGAATAGTGACTATATAGATTCCCCCAGTATCTGAAAGCAGAGGGTTCCTATAAAGCCTTTCCTAAGTTAAAATGGCAAGGAGGAAAGAAGCAATTACTATTAATATATATGGGGAAACTTTTTAAGCATTCCTCAACCCAAAAATCACCTATCTAACCTATCTAACACAGAAGATTTAAATGAACACTGATATAGTATTCATTCCTGCAGAAGGTGCTTGGCAACATCAAAATAACTGCAAAACAAACTCTGAAGGCTAGGTTTGCTTTTCATAAAAGGGAAAAAACCCTCTTCAGATTTCATTTGGTTAGCAAAAATAGTAACGCAGTGTAAAGCATACTTTCAAAAAGTGGGTTATAACTGTACAGTGGAATGAACAACTCAATCTTAGAAAGAATAACAACCGGAATGCACCTTAGCTATGAGGATAGACTGTAAAATGCTTGGTAAAGTAGAGGGCAATGAAAACAATGGAAACTTTCAATGAGTTGACTGACATAATTTGCATGGATGCAAATATAGCAAGGGTCTTGGGGATGGCCAGGGACAGGCAACACTTCACTCTTTTATACATAAGGTTACTGTTAAGTTGGCACCAGCTAACAATAAAAAATGAAGGGAATTTTGAGGTAAAAATTAAAAAAAAAAATCTTTGTGGTACATGTTTTAAAAAGTACTCAGAAACCAAGATGAATATTATGTGTAGATAATAAACTCAGAATAACAAAGCAATAAATACTGTATTTTTTGAATAAAGATTACTTTATTTCAACCTAAGTAATCTCAAAGCATCAAACGTCCACAGTTTCAGTGACATTATTAACACATATACACATAATATATAGGCTTAAGTGATACATGAATTTTCTTAGGGTTACATAATTCTTTAGTGTCACTTGTTTATCTTTTTCTCACTTAACATGTCTCTTGGACATTTCAGCATACCCCAAGGGATTCCAGGGTCAAAATACAAACTGAACTTTACTGCTGTTTGTGTCTTCGAATCAGTTCTGATTCACAGTGACCCTATGTACAACAGAACAAAACACTGCCTAGTTCTGCGCCACCCTCACATTTATTACTGCTTGAGCCTATTGTTGCAGCCTCTGTACCAATCCACCTAGCTAAAAGATCTTCCTCTTTTTTTGCTGCCCTACATTACTAAGCATGATATCCTTTCTCCAGGGACTGGTTCCTCCTGGTAACGGGTTCTAAGTACATGAGATGAAGTCTTTCCATCCTCCATTCTAACATAGATTTATTTGTTCTTCTGGCAGCCCATGGCATATTTAGTATTCTTTGCCAATATCATAATTCAATGACACTAATTCTTTTTTTTTAAGTTTTTATTGTGAATTGAGTGATAGTTTACATGGGAGAACATCGGTTTTACACTTGTTTCATTGCAGTGATTACAATCTACTCCATGCATCATCATTCAGCAGTATTTGCTTCTATTCCCTCTGTTGTTTTGTTGTTTTTGGGGGGTGGGTGTGTGTGTGGGGGAGGGATGTATACAAAAACACTCAGGAATATATAATCATTTAAATAACCAAAGGACACATTCTGCAAGCCTGCCTCCTGTTCACCTGCACCTGTCTGCCAGCACACAGCCTTTCTCTTTCCATGAGTCTAGAGTCCTCAGCTACTGTCACTCTCTCCATGCCCTCATCTCTGTCTCCATCTCTAGTGTCACTGCTTCTCTGGATAGGATCCCACATCCTGCTTGTGCTCTTCTCCCTTGATGGTCCTAGGGTTCTCTGTTCCTGGACTGTAAGATTAACTACTCCCCTCTTTTTGTTACAAAACTTCTACCTTTAGAGTTATGACAGTTACAATTAATCAATGACATTAATTCTTAAAGGAACTTAATTCTCCCTCTGAGTAGTTAGGTATAACTTAAAAGGTAAAAATATGTTTTAAACTCAGGCACTTACAGGGTCGCTATGGGTTGGAATTGACTCGATGGCACTTCACAACAACAACAACAACATTAGTGTTATGAAATTCCTGTCCAAACAACCCTAACTGGAACTAATAATGAAAATACTTCCTTCAGCCCCTGATATCCCTCGTCAATTAAATCAGGAGTTGCCCAAGAAGAGCTACCTGAATGGCTCTTCTTAAGTTTCTGTCAAAGGGACTATCTATGTTTATTAGTTATCATTGTATTTTATTTGCCATGAATATAATATTCTGGTATTATCCTTTAAAATTTCAGATCTGGTAATACTGGGTGACACTATGAAGATATTGAATAATATTGGTGAATTTGAGTCATGACTGTATGAATCGGGAAATGATTCTTCCCCAGAGCCAATCAAACCTCTTAGACCCTGATGCTGAGCTAATGGCAGAAGCCAAACTGTCTGAGATTTAGACTTCTGCTTCACAATGACTCTGGAGGACCTGAGGGTGCTCTAGCTGTGATAGCTGTCATCTCATTGATCACCAGGGTTGATCTGACTGATCTGGTTGGCTAGAAAAAGGTTATTCTGTTTTATTTTCATATCAGCAATATCCAGAGGAACTGAAAAACCTCTTCTAGCAATTCTTCAACATTTTCACATAAACACTAAAGGAAAACAACTGGAGAAGTTCCCTTTAAATAACTTTTGTTCACTTATTGTTGTTGTTAGGTGCCATCGAATCAGTACTGACTCATAGCGACCCAAAGAATGTGTGTTCACTTAATTCCACTCAAAATAACTTGTAACAGATAATTTTAAACAAGCTCTAATAGATACAGAAAATATATTATTTTTTCCAGTTAATTGAGTAAACACTTTTCTTACCCTTTCTTGAAAGACAAATGTTATTTCTTGATTTGTGGAATTCTGTTGAAAATATAAGCCTTTCATAGTCACCTGAAAACAAGAAAAACAAACAACATGAAACAATAATGGGTGCCCTAGATCAAATGAATGCAAACCTTGAACAACTGTACTTGGTAAAGGGAAAAATGACAAGCATAAACATACTCTTCAAACAAATAAATTAGGGCTTTCTAGAAAGGGAACACGTTAAATGAGACTATGTAACAATTTCTGTATGCAAATGTGTTTACAGTTTAACCGTTCATTACAAAGGAAAACAAGAGCCTAATTTGACTTTCCCATTCAATAAAAAGAAGCTCAACTTTACTAAATATGTCAGTTTTAAGCTTTAAAGACTACTACTACAGAAAAGCAGGAGTCCTGGTGTGGTGCTGTGGGGTAATGCGCCAGATAGGTTGGCGGTTCAAGCTCACCACCTACTCCTCAGAAACCCTATACAGGGTCGCTGTGGGTCAGAACCAACTTGACGGCACTTGACAACAATAACAACTAAAAAGCAAAGAAATTAGATGCAATGATTAAGATGCATGTTGCAACTGTGCCCTTAATGCCTCTTTCCCTCTATATGCCATTTAATGGAAATATTTTAAACGGTATAATGTTAACTTCTTGAAGCATCTGTAAGTGATCCAATATGCTGTTCGACTCATAGAGACCCCGTATAGGGTTTCTGAGAAGTGACTGGTGGGTTCGAACCACCAACCTTGCAGTTAGCAGTCCAGGGCTTATCCTATAGTGCCACACCAGGACTCCATAATTTTTTTTTTTTTTTAACTTTCATAGTCATTCTATGGTGGTAGTGGTGGTTTTGTGCTGTTGAGTTGATCCCGACCCATCATAACCTTGTATTGGCAAGATTATTTTTTTTTAGTGTAAATTTTGTAGAAATTGAAAATATATATATTTGTTGTTGTTAAGTACTGTCAAGTTAGTTCCTTCTCATAGTGACCTGTACAGGGTTTCCAGAGTGAGTGGTGGATTTGAAGCACCAACCTTGTGGTTACCAGGCCAGTGCTTATCCTACAGCGCCACACCAGGAATCTAGAAAATACATATAGGAAAGTGTAAATATCCTAAATCGACAACTTGCTTAATTTCACAAAGTGAGTATGTCCAGGTGACCAGGAACCTAATCAGGAAACATGTAACGGCTATACATTAAATGGAGTCCTAGCACGGCACAGTAGGATAAGCACTAGACTGCTAACTGCAAGGTCGGTGGTTCAAACACACCACTCACTCATTGGAAAACCTATACAGGGTCACTATGCGTCACTTAACAATAACAACATATCAAACATTTTTAAAATCAGGAGAAAGAATGTTTAAAGAAGATATCTATTTAAAATAATTTCTGGTACAAAGCAGAAAAGAGGACTTTGCATAAATTAAACATGACTATAAATAACACTTCAAAAGTTAATGGTACTTTTTGGTTAATAAAGGCAATGTTCTATTTTAAGAGAGTTAAAAAAAAAATTAAGTATCATTTTGGCACAAAGCAGAAAAGTGCACTGTGTATATTAAACATATTAACTATAAATATCACTTTAAAAAAGTAGTTAATAAAGGTAATGATCTATTTTAAGAGATTAAAAAAATCAATGGGAAGAAATTTTAAATGGCTTCATCAGACTTATAAAAGCAACAGGAATAGCATTTGCTCTTCTGCTACACTCAAGGCCCCCTCCCCTGGAACCAAGGGGCTCGTCTACTAATAAACATAAATAAAACCTCTATATATCATTCCTTATCTACACCTGCAGACCAAAAGTATCCTGAGTATCACATCAATCTCAAATTCAACAGACAAAACTGGACTCATCTTTCTCCACAAGAGTCTGCTCTTTCTAGTCATAATTCTCTCCTCTGTATTGTTATCAGCAATAATCTTCTGTTTCCTTTAGGATGTCCTGGCTCATTTTCAAAGGCCATGAACACAGCACATGCTAATACTTCAATACTGTTATGGCCACAGACTGGGAAATGGCTGCAATTCCCCCTTTTGCCCAACCTATCATCTACCCTACAGCCAACTCAATTCTTGGAAGTTCAACTCTTCTTTTATGCTCTTATTTCTGTTATTCCTCAACACAAACCTCAGCTTCAGGGTTCCACTGTAATGGTTTGAAGCCACTCCATTTTGTATTTTAAAGAAAGCAACAGTATATTGTCAAGCAACTAAGCTACAGAAAAACAGATGGCAGTCAACTCTGAGATGTGGCCTTACATGCTCAGTCTGGTCATCATGACAGGGTCTTGCTATCTGTGTATCCAATGACCTCCTCCCTGCCCGGTTCATGTCTGGCGCACAGCAAGATGATACTTTCTGGATTTTTAAGGGGATCATTTGAGAAGAGGTGACTTATTAACTTAACAACCTACAATCTTACTCAACTGTTGAGACTTTTCATAGCTATCCAAAAATCAGAAAAATAAGTCTGCCAAGTCATGTGTTAGATATTTGTTAAAAAGATGGTCAGCAAGATCAAAGAAACTAGCTGGCTGTTTCTTTCTTGTACTGGCCATTCACAGGCCATAGAGGATGGCAGTCCTAACTAGATATGCCAGCTTTGTTTAAACCAAACAAGGAGGGAACTGCATAATCATAACTGGGAGGCAGTTTTATACTGGGTAAGCAACAGACTTTATAAATCTGTATATGCTAAGAAAAATTTGCCTTAGGAATGAGTGCACACATGACATTGTTTGGCTGAATACAACTGCATTGCTCTCTTTTATACCTTCTGCAAGATATAGGCTTGTTGTGTTTATTTTCATACATGCACACGAGCTTCCTGTTGCAGTAACACTAGTGCTGCTGCAGCTGGAATAAATAATGAGGTGATGTGGAGAGTGGAGGTAATACACAGTGGAGCGACAAGTTAGGAGCCTGGGTCCCTGACACAGTGGAGCAACCCATCAGCCCTGGAATGCCTACCTTGACTTTTACAAGAATGAGAAATAAACTTCATCTTGTTTAAGGCCGCTCCACCTATGTATTCCTACTGCTAAACCCCACCCTCCCAACCACCACCACAAAAAAACAAAACAAAACAAAACAAAAATGGCACAGAAGACACTGCAACTGATCCACACCTAGCTAAACTCTGGAGAGCAATTCAATGCTTCAGTAATTTTTGACTTTCACATTTTAGGTAGATTAATTTAAAAGCTAAAGAAGGAAACTGCATGAAGTTGCTTAGTTCCTATCTATAACTGGAGGGATTTAAACAGAGGCTGGACATGCACTTTGATAACGGGAGTTTAAGCATTAGTTAAGTAACTTCTTAAATATGGTCGAGTGGGTTCCTACTCATAGTGATCCTGCACAGGGTTTCTGAGGACTGGCTGGGGAGCTTGAACCACTGACCTTGCCGTTCAAACTGACCTTGCAGTCCAGCACCGTAACCACATAGTACCACACCAGGACTCTGAATAAGTCATTGGTCCTGCAAAATTCTATCATGTGATCGCCCGTATTTTTATCAAGGCCCTAATTTTCCAACTACTGACTCACTTTTTCTTAAACAAAACAAAACAAAAATTTTTAATGAAACTGGTACATACATCCTTTTAAAGCCTATCTCCCAAATCAAAAAGTACACACAAAATTAAATAAAGCACTGTTCTATTGTATACACTTTTGCAGGGATATTTTTATTAACTGCTGATGAAATTTAGAACTTTGCTAAGGTCTTTAAATGTGGAAAAAAGGTTATTTTTCCACATTTCAGTTGTCTGAAAACTTCCATTTTCCATGGAAAGTCATAGTCCAGGAGTGAAGCAATCACATGCTAGAACCTCACGGCCAACTGGAAAGTCATTATGAACACTTGCATTGGTTGATTTTCTTTATGTCATAAGCCTGAAGATTTTCATTACTGAAAAAGTGATCTTTCATTGAGCACATGTCATTTTAAAAGGAGGAGGGCATTATGAAGGGGGCTGAGGCTTGATCACGAAAAATCAGCACAATGAAAACAAGTAATAATGAGTAGTGAACACTAGAATTCAAAATACCAGATTTTTCAAGAGAGGGGCCAGTTTTCAATTCTATTTTGATTACCACATTACAAAAGAACTACTTTTAAAAACAAAAAAGGATTAAGGAAAAAGAAAAGAAAAAAGTATATAAACTGTTGAATGATCTGTTTGCTCCTGATAAATTTCAACCACATCTCCCTCCATTAACAATGTAGTGTAATTATCAGCAGTTTTCTATCCTTCAAAGAGTAACCTAAGTGAATTCATTGGAACTCCCTGTCTCTGACAGTATAATCCTTTGAGTTTCTTGAGATGTGCTGTCATTTTTACCTTGAAGCGAATCTCACTGCTATCTTGTCCAATGACTTTTTTAAAAAAAATGTTTTATTGTGAATTATGTGATAGTTTACATGGGAGAACATTAGTTTTACATTCATTCTATGGTTACAATCCCCTCCATGCATCATCAACCAACCAAAGGGTATACCCTGCAAGCCTGCCCCCCACAGCTCCCCCGGTCTTCAGCACACAGTCCCTCTTCCTCTCTGGATCTAAAGTCCCCAGCTGCTCCACTGCTCCACGTCATCATCTCTGGCTCCATCTCAGGCATCACTGCTTTTCTGGGTAGGGTCCCGCTCTCTGCTCTTCTCCCTTGATGGTCCTAGGGACCTCAGCTCCTAGACTGAAAAGTTAATCACTCCCCTCCTTGCTATAAAACGTCTACCTTTACATTTCCAACCCTCCCAATCAGTCCTGATAACAATTATTCACTAGTCCAATGACTTTTGACTTTAATATATTCTCCTTCCTTCTTATACCCCAAGTCCTCAGCTGAAGGTTTTGCCTCCTGTTCAGACACAGTGGTTGTGGCTTTGCACTGGGGTCTCTGCACTGTAGTAACCTTGGCCAAGCAGAATCTCGTTCCAAGGTTTATAAAGCCTTCCATCTTTCCCACAGCACAAACCCTGTCTCTTTGTTTCTAACCTTTGCATTCTAATCACCAGTAATTATCAATACATCTTCATTGCATGTTTTATCAG